ATGGAATTATTCTAATATGAAGTCGACTATGAATTATAATCAAATAATATCCGTTTAATTTACATATTCGTGCATATCAAAGTTCATATATGAAAAAAATTAACATCCTTTATTTTTATATATTGTATTTATTTCCCACCCACTCTGCCCATTCCTCATTTATGTTGCGGCAGATCAGCTCAGGTCACTACATCAGCCCTCAAATCAAAAACTGCCAAAAATTGTAGAGCCCACACGTAAGCACAGTATGTGTGAATACATGGCACGCACACATTTACGAACCTGGAAACGAAACTCAAAGCAAACTCAAAACGGTTTCGAAAAATAAGAATTGATAAATATTTTGTATATTTGCAATTCTCGGCTTGCTTTCGCATCATGAATCGAACATGTCGAAAAAATGCCGAACGTCTTAGGCCCACGACCCGAACGTCTCATCACCACAGCCGAATGGTCCCAGCACCCCAGCCGAAGGCCTGAAAAGCAGAAAACTCAGCTGCGACACGTTCGGTGTATGAACTGGCACATCTATATACAGTATGTTTAGTGGTTTCGCTCAATACCAAACTATACTCAAACGCCAGGATAGAAAGTACTAGATCATATGAGCTGGGCCCCTTAAGGCTCAGTCTAGCATGCCCAATGCTATTTTTATACCCGTACTCAAAAAAGAGTTAAGGGGTATATTGTATTTGTTGTAAAAGTGGATGTGTGCAACGCAGAGAAGGAAATGTTTCCGACCCCATAAAGTATATATATTCTTGATCAGCATCAATAGCCGAGTCGATAGAGCCATGTCTGTCTGTCCGTCTGTCCGTCTTGTTTGACGCCTGGATCTCAGAGACTATAAGAGCTAGAGCAACCAAATTTTGTAATATCACACTGCTACAAGTGTATTTCAAAATTTCGCCCCGCCCCCTTCCGCCCCCACAAAGGACGACAAACCTGTGGCAGGCACAATTTTAAAGATACGATAAAACTAAAAACGCAGTATCGTAGAGAATATTCATATCTACCAGACTGCCGAATCTGAAAAAGATCGGATTATATATCTAGCCAAAATAAAGAAATTAATTTTCTGTTGCTTCCTCCGCCTCCCCCTGCCAGAGACACGCTACTCATTCTCAGCAGCGTTCAGTGCGCGAGCAACCCCTAGCGAAGGAGATGTAGAATCTAAATGGTACATGTATAATCTACATGTTAGATGTAAAATATACATTGTATATGTGTATGTAGATAACAGATGTAGCAAAAAAATCTAAAATGTAAAATTTTTTTTTTAGTTTTTAAATTCTAAAAAATCATAAGCTCAAAAATGTACATACTGACGAGTACGGGTATAAGTAGAGTCGCGTCCCCAGAAGCGACTAACACGTTCCTTCTCGTTTTTTCATGATTTTAGGTGGCAATCGGATTTCTGTGAATGCCAAACATAATCTTTTGAGTGTATCTTACCAAATAGTACAACTTTACTATTGTTCAGGCCAGCAGCGCTGTTAACATAGCAGCGCTAACAGTCGGTTGACAGTGTTGCTAACAGCGGACTGTTAGCTCGCTCTCTCTCTCTCGTGCCCTTTGCTCTCGCGCTGCTCAGTCACGATCCACTCGACTCTCCAGCACTAGCGCTAGCATTATGCTGCCCAAAATACATAGTGGGAGTCTCTCTTCAACTACGAACCGATTACAAGCGCACATCAACCCCAGCTGTATCAATTACCCGCAAATATACGCAAACATATAATTGACGCCCCCAACTACTTTTATTTGGGAATACGGTCTTTGGGAACCTCCAACATCCACTCTCCTACAATCAACTATCATCAGTCAAAAGCACTGACAAATCACTGTGATACAGGCCATTCGACATGCGTTTTTTTCCAACTGAAGTTGTGCACCTATGTACTCTCAGATCTAAGCGCGGAGCTTTCTGGGAATTCTTGCATTCAAATAATGTGTAATCAACCGTCTACGGAATGTCACATCACTGAAAAATAAGATTTTCGCATACAAAATTGATTTTCAGTCTAGTTCTTATAGTTAATTGTGTTAAATTCAATAGTGAGAGTGCATCAAACTTAGTTTTCAATCCCATTATACCTCCTGCCTTAAGTTTTTAGTCTTAAGGCCTGTCTCCAGCACCACGGAAAATTCCTGCTATGAATTTGCTTGTTATTCCGTGAGGGTGTGGAACATAGCTAAAACAGGGTTGATGAATCAGCTGTGTTTTGTAAACAGTGCCAGCTGTAAAATTCTGCTAATACATTGAACAGGTGATGTCATGCGTAGTTGTCTAAAGTCATAAAAAACAAGAAGATGGAATTCAAATATAACGAAGTTTCTTCGATTTTCTAATGCTCAAATTGCAGGCTTTCTGTAAAGGTATCACTTGTTCAATTTGAAAGACTAGAAATATCTCAAAAGAGTTTTGAAAGTAGTGAGGTGCGGCACTACTATTTCATTGAACACAACTGTATGTACATTAATATTCTGCAAATGCCGTCGGCTTTCTACTTTTTCAATAAATTCCTTTTTTCAGAGAATTTTTCTATATATATTTATGTTTCTGTTTGTGAAATTCAACTAAAATTAAAAAAGGAAAATAAAAATGAAGTCTGACGATCAAGTGATTGTGTCGGTGGCGACATATATTGCTGCACAACAAAACAGAATAATTTGCATCTCTCTTTTATGTTTTGCGCTAAGTTTTTGCCTACATCTTGCACCATTCACTTCAGGAATAATTGGTGAACATAAATTCCTGAGCTTGGGTATCAGCTGTTCTCTCAGTCCACATACGTTCCCGATAGGCAACTATCGATATAAATCTGTGGATTTCGGTCATGTTGCTGGATACACACTCCAAACGTAAGCGAAAAATCCCTGTCACAGATTTTTTATATGAAGTTTGGCAGGAATTTTTAGATTCCGCGGTGATGGATAGTATAGTATGCTTAAACCTCAAATCTTGTTCCAGTCCCACCTCAGCGATAGATTGTCCAGGGCTGGGTCGAAGCGCCATCTATCGGCTTTCCAAGGAGGCTCTATGGTGAAGGACCGTATCGCTGAGAGAGGGATCCCGTTGCTGAAGAAAAGAAGGAAGAAGATAGGATAAGTTAGGTGTATTGGTAAAGGCGCGCATGCGTAAGAGGGATTAAATAGGAGTAAAAAAATGCAAAACATGATCAGAATAATTGCCGGTCATCCGAAGCGGATGCACAAAGTGTTAGGAGAGCCAGAATCGAGGCGAAGTGGGGTTAAATCCGATTGACGGAACATATTGAAAGTGAGTGGTGAAAATTTGAATTCAAACAAAAAGTAATCCGCGGTGCATTTCCCGTAGCCTGGCCCGGAAGATTGCCCAGCGCAGCCGGGTCAGTGTTTTACCCGATAAGATTAATTCTGGAGAGGATTGACTGCAGTGTGTCCGACGAGCCGACATTAGAAACCAAATCGTGAGTCCGTTCCGTGTCTGTAGTGCGGGTGCTAATCAGATCAGACACTCGATCCTTGTAGAGTGACCAAGGACCGTGCCGCAGACGAAGTGGTGCACGTAGTCCAAGCCTGTGGACTCGGCGGAGCCACCTCTACGCCCACCTAAGCCTCTTTGCACTCACATTTACACATTACACATACACATTTGCAGTCACATTTACATTGCACATACATACAGCCAGACCGACGATCAACCACAGTTAATTTTTGGAATCACTCTTCTCACTTGCAAGCAGCTACATGATTTATTCTGCCTATCGTGTTGTCCTATATTATATTATATTATATTATATATTATTATATATTATTATATATTATATATATATATATATATATATATATTATTATTATTATATTATATATTATTTATTTATTTGTTATTTATTATTAGTAGATTAAGTGAACCGTAACGTAAACAAACCCGATTTGTAAAACGCCAAACCTTGCCCGACAGAGACACAAAACAAAAACATATGGTAGGATTAACCTTGTGCGCTGCGCGGGGTCCGACAAGCCCACCGTTTTGGTTGAATATTGTTTTGTCATTTTTGTTGTCGATGGCCTTGTTTATTCCTGCCCTTATGACCCTTAACAAGAGCTCTTTGTAGGTTAGTCTCGGGAGGGCCCAAAGAAAGTTGATGCATATCCCAATTTAAATCCGCATCGAGACGCCCATAACGCATAGGTCTATTCCCATAAATCAGTAATTATGTTATTTATTCAAATTATCATTTTTTATTATCTAGGGAAGAAAAATTATAATTAGGAGATGAATTTGTCGGAATATATTATATATTAAACTAAGGAATATTGAAAGGATGAAGGCCTAAATTAATTTAGAGGGAGGACGCGTGTCGGAAGCGATGGATTAGACCAGCCGCAGCCGTTCCAGCAGAGGGTGGCCAAAATGAACGTTGTGTTTGACCACAGGTAGGGTGGGCGCGCGAAGTGGAACACCTAGCCTGCACCCATTTGACAGCCGTCTATTTGTCTGGTTCTTTTTGTTTGTCTTACAGTCTATTGTAGGTTCTTTGTCTAATTTTATGTCCCGAGAAGTCGTTATCTCAAATCTTGTTTACATTTGGTGGGCAAGGGGAACTACCCATCCCTGGGGTCGAGAGCTAGCCGGCATTGCCCCACGAGCCGCAAGCCGAATGTAACAATCTATCAGAAAAATTTGTCTGATGCGATAGTTTTTTGCCTGTTGACTAGTTTTATCATCGGTATTCAAAACTAAAAAGTTTAAGAGTGTGCTCAGTAGCCTTTTTAAAATGCATTCTTCTCTTATACTTGGTGTTGCATAAACTCACTTGTGAAAAAACTTTAAAAATACATATTAAAATCTTTAAAAAAAAATTAAATATTTTTAATATATTTGTGATTTTGAGCTCCAAGTACATACAAAATTAGGGGATTTTTTTATTTTGTATAGAGTTATGAGCCCACCTTTGCAATAATTTTAAGCTCTTTAGCTAATTGTGAAATGCTAACATTTTTTGGCGTCACAGGAATGTCCAGTGCGGTACTCTACAATGTAAGGATGGGGAAAGACAACCAGTTAACGATGGTATCGACCAACTCTATTCACGCACCATTATATCTATCAAGGGACAGGAGTACGAGTGCAAGTGCGTAGCAGATAATATGACCGGATTGCAGGTATTGCTAAAACAAAATACTTTTACGTTATTTTCGTTATTTGCAGAGCAACCAGCGGACAAGTAGGCTCCAACAACTACCCTGAACATGGTCTAGTCAAGGATGGAACACCGTGCGGTGATAATTTAATTTGCCTCAACCAAACTTGTGTCAGTCTCTTTCCTCATGTGGATCAAACCAAGTGCCCAACAAATAAACAGGGTCAAGAGTGCTCAGAACACGGCGTAAGTTTGACAAAAAAAAAGGAGCGGCTTTCACTCACTCCCTCTTATACAAGTATACACACACACACACAATAATGGGGTTTTATACGGAAAGAAAATCACGACCACTCTTTGCATTTGCTCTTGCAGGTCTGCACTAACACAAATCGCTGCTTTTGCGACATGGGTTGGGGTGGCACAGACTGCAGCTCTGTCGTTCTCCTTACTACAGCACTGCCAACCGAAGCATTGCCTACCCCGGAAAATACAATAAAAATGGAAAAGAAAGAAACCCCATATGGTAAGAGAGGGGCGTCGAGGTCAACGATACTTTGCGTCAACGTATTTTCGTTACCTTGCACCAGCTGGGAAAGACTTTTACTAACTAAGCTAACTTGATTAAATTTATTCAATCCAGTGCGAACAGTACTCAACAAAAAAAAAACATCAACTAGGCTAAGCTATCCATCTATACAAAGCCAATTTAGTGTAGCCAAACCAAGCCACTCTTGCGATGTCCTGGTTCAATCACGTTGAAAAATTACGATTCGATTACAATTCGAAATGATAAAATTTGGTTTGATTACTTGTATGACAATGGTAATCATGGCGATTAATGGTCTTAGCGTTTTTTATAAGCAACTCTACGAACAGAGACTAATTTATATAGGTTCAAAAATGCAAAGGTTCATCGACGAAACCCAATAACAGCAAAGAAATAACCCATTGTAACATATAAATCTTAAGTCTTTTATGTCTTATTAATTAACATTATTTAATGGCCAAGGTTCTGAAATTTTTATTCATTTATTTCTCATTTTCCCTTTCCATATTTTTCTATGATATTGGGATTAGGAGGATTGCGTTTTAAAATTGTACTTAATTGTATGTAAAAAGAAGTAAATCTATAGAAGTTGGATATTTTTATTCGGCACGTCGATTATAGCTTAGCCGTAATAATCATTTATCTTTACAAATATACTTGCTACTCGTGGAAACGAAATCACGGGAGTGAAATTTTAAAACTAGATTTCTTGTAAATACACTTCACAACAAAAGCGAACTTTTTTTACTCAAGAAACCAATATTTTTTTTAACAGATTTTTTTTCTATGATTTTTTTTCTTCCGCAGAACTTTTTTAGAATTTTTAGAAATTTTTGTTGTGTTTGTTTCAGAGGTAGCGCTTCCATTTTTCACATAGCTTTTGTATCTTATATCTGGTTGTAATGAATTTTGCTATTCTGAAAAGCTTTTAAGTCTAGCTAAAAACTTAACCTCAGCAATTTGTTGTTTCCGCTTACCGTCTGTGAAATATTAGGCTTACAAATGCAAAACTGATGAATTTGTGTATTCTGTGTTTTTATATTTTTGTGTATACGTGCATTAATTGGGCGTCGTGTAGGGTTTTGGTAATACAAATTAATGGATCAACGGTTGAGCTAAAACTGGTTGACCAACCTTCCAAAAATCATATTTTACCATATTTACTCAGAATTTGCATCGCGGATATCCACAGAAAATAATACTTTGACAAGAAAATTGTATCACCTTTCAGAGGATATTTGATTTGTGGTGATTGAATGGATATGCCTGAAGATACAGCGACTCAAAGTTTAAGTATTCTACCATTTTTAATGTTTCTTCAACATCGAAATTTTTGTTTTTAATTTTTTCATAAGGTTTTGTTTTTAGAGATACACTTTTTAGGAGCATCTATTTTTAACAAAATAAGCTACTAATCATTAATATTGTCCAAAGAATTGCAACGGTACGATTTTTTTTTATTTAATGGTATTGGTATTTGGTATTTCACCACGCAATTCTTGTTGTGAAATTTTTAAATTTTACATATAGCTAAATTGGAATTACATATCAAGTAATCAAGCATTGGTCCAAAACTTTTAACAAGCAATGTTCCAAAGGGTAAAATTTGATTTTTGAAGGTTGGTCAATCTATTTTAGCTCAACCGTTTCTCCATAGATTTTTATAAACAAAACCTTAAACGACGCTTAATTAATGCACATATAATCGAAAAGTAAAAAGACACAGGATATAATTTTTTTTCGACTTTTCCTGAGTTTTTAAAATCAAAACTTTGAACTAGCTCAAACTGCTGTAGAAAAAAATCTTTTCAAACAATTTCAAAGCTCTAAATCTATTAGACAAAGTCGGTTCAGTTCCTTGGGGAAAATTGTTTTGAGTAGTGTTATCCGTGTGCAGAAGAGATCAATAAGACTACCAGACACCATTTTTCCGCTTCGAACCAAACCAACTTTCTTATAGACTTGGGGCTTTGAACATGCTTTGTGATAATTTTTTTTTTCTACGGCAGAACTTTTTTGAACAATTTTTGAAAACTGTAATATGTATATTGTTTATTCTTTTTTCAGAGGTAGCGGTTCCTTTTTTCTCATAGCTTAAGTATCTTATATCAAGTTGTAAAGAACTTTGTAACTTGGAAAAGTTAATTGACGCAGCTAGAAATTGGACCCAAACACTTTGTGTTTTTAGCTTACTGTTGGGAAATATTAAGCTTTAAAATGAAAAAATTATGATTGTTGTGCGTTAATTTGTACGAATCTTTTACTTTAAAAACTCAGAAAAAGTCGAAAAAAAAAATATCCTGTGTCTTTTATATTTTTGTGAATAGGTGCATTAATTGGGCTCGTTAAAGGCATTGCTCATTAAAACCTATCGAAGGACGGCGGATCCAAGCAATGCTTGCTTTGACATTTTTAAATTTTACATGTACCAAAATTGAAATTACATACTAAGTAAATAAGCACTGCTTTTTTATATATAAAATGGACAATTAAATATATTAGTAGCTTATTTTGTTAAGAATAGATGCCTCTAAAAAGTTCATGATTGAAAATAAAAACCATACTACATATATGAAAGGTTTTACAATTTCCTAATAAATCTATTTATTTTTGTGGATATCTGCGGTGTAAATTCTGGGTAAAAATTTTTAAAGGGACCAAAACGTTAGGCCAGCAGCTTTCCAAACGGTAAAATGTGATTTTCGAAGGGTTTTGTTAACCATTTTAGCTCAGCCGTTTCTCCATAGATTTGTATGAAAAATACTTTAAACGACGCCTAATTGATGCACATATATACAAAATATAAGGACTCAGAATATATTTTTTATTTTACTTTTTCTGTGTTTTTAAATTCAAAGTTCTGAAAAAAATCCTCAAAAAAAATAATAAATTTTACATTTGAAAACTTAGTATTTCCCAGATGGTAAGCTGAAGCTGCAAAGTGTTCCAGATTTCTGTAAAGATGCATTAATCAGCCTTTTAGAATGGCAAAGTTTATTCCAACTAGATGTAAGATACTTAAGTTATGTGAAAAATAGAAGCGCTACCTCTGAAAAAAGCTTAAAGCTTACCAGGTTTCAAAAATTCTTTAAATAAAAGTTCTGTCATAGAAAAAAAATCATAATTTTTTAAACAAAATAGCTCCAAATCTATCAAAAATAGTCGGCATGGTTTTTTGAAAAAAAAGTTCGATTTTTTCGATTGGTCTAATTAATCAACATATGAAAAAATGATAAAAATTGGTATGTTGGTTGAGAAGTTATAGCGGTTTTTCTTTTGAAATTTGTTAACCATTCCGGCAAACCAAGCGCTGGCAAATGATATCGTACACAAATGAAGTGCGAAAAAAAACTCTAGCAATTTCTATCGGATCCAAAAAGATAGAAATTTGATTCATATGTCGTTCAGTTTTTGACAGTGGCAGTGAATGTTTCGGTTACGATAGTCGAAAGAAATTGTACTCGCGATATTTTTGCAAAACTTTTTTACCATTTGCGAGCTCGTTGTGAATTTTTAGCGCTACAAAAATGTATGACTACCTTTTTTCACATGCGAGCTCACTTCGATACAAAAATGTTCCACTAATTGCTTACATGCGAGCTCGTTTCATTTTAAATAATGAACATAATATGTAGACCACATTAAATATTAATAAAAAAAACAAATGTTTTCCATTTGGACATTGCCCTAGACGGAGAAAACTTCGTCGAATCGACAAACATACGTTTGGTTTTTCCTCTATCTTTCTTTTATACTTTCGTATTGATCTAGATCGCTCTATAGCTCTACTCCCGAATTCTCTTGCTAATTTAAGATGCATTATGTGGGGGAATGGACGCACAGTGGGGCCTCAGCCGAATAGAGTTGGCAAAAGTAATTTTTTGAGTGAACGCTTTGGATAACTTAAATATACGCATCTGATAGAAAATTTGATTTCGAAAACTGAAAATATTAAGACATTCGGTCTATTAGTTTCGGAAATATCAGCATTCAAAGTTGACCATTTGATCAATTTGTAGATCAAATAAGAAGTAAACTATGGCATGTAGGATTATTGTTTTGGACTCTATTTGTAGGTATATTTATTGGTTACATTGTTTAGTAAAAAGTTTTATTGTTGGAAAGACTCAATGAAAATTTAATTTTTCAAACTATCTATTTTTTGGCTATTTTTAAGCATTCATATCATGTAAAAAATTACTATATAAAACTACTCGCGAGATTTTTTGTTTTTATTTTCTTTGAATATTTCTTAATCTACGTATTTGCGGTCCTTGCTTACGCTGGTTTACGCAAGAGGACCGTATAAAGCGATTTGTGTCCCAACCTCGTACAAAAAACAGTCCAAAACAGCGCCGCTGCAGTTATAAGAAGAAGAAAAAACGATGGATCAAAATATGATATTAAAAAACATTAATTTTTATTTTTGTAAAATCCAATTAAGGTACAATAAAGACACAGAACTATTACACAAGTCGACACGACATTTCGGCTGTGGCCCATAATGACTTTTTCGGATAGATTCCGGAACTTAAATATTTTGAACGAATTATGGTTTTTTTTTTTTGTTTTGATGATTTAATGATGTTTTTAAAATCTGGTATTTTTTGCATGTTTTTTTCAGATGTACTGATTCTATTTTTCACATAACTTAAGTATCTTATATATGGTGGCAAAAAACTTTTCAGGTTTGCAGCTATAAATCCGACCCAGACACTTTGTAGCTGCAGCTTAACTTCTGGAAGATATTAAGCGTTCAAATTCGATAATTTTTTTGCGGTAAATTTTCCCGAAATTTTCACTTTAAAAACTCAGGAAAAGTCGAAAAAAATAATTCTGCATGATTTTTGGTTTTAGATAGACGAATTAATTATGCATCGTTTAATGTATTGTTTGTAAGAATCGCTGTATATACGGTGAAGTTGCAGCCGTTTGACCAAAACGACTCAAAACTCATTTTAACTGAAAAAATACCGTCCGGTACGTTGCTGGTCCAACTTCCCATAACACTAGTCAACACTACATTTAGGCTGTGGCCCTTTTTCTTATAGATTTAGGGGTTTACAAATTTTCAGCGAATTTTTTTTTTTTATGGTTTAGTTTTTTTTTTAAGAATTTGTTTAACACTGGTATTTTTTTAATGTTGTTTTTGAGAGTGCTTTTATTTTTCACATAACTTTAGTATCTTATATCTGGTTGCAAAGAACTTTGCAGTTCTGAAAAGCTGACAAATGCGGCTATACATTTTTGTATCTGAAGCTTAACGCCTGGAAGATATTAAGCTTTAAAATTCCAGAACTGCAAAGTTCTATGCTACTAGATATAAGATACTTAAATTATGTGAAAACTGTTAGCACTACCTCTGAAAAAATCCATGAATAAAAAAAAAACATATTTTAAAAGTTTTAAAAAAAAAATTAAACCACAAAAAAAATAATAAAGTACTACAAAAATTTTTAAATCCCGAAATCTATCAGAAAAAGTCATTTTGGTCCACAACCGAAAGAAAAAGTTCGCTTTTGTTGAGTAGTGTGTAGCCGAGATATAGGATTTCATTCTTTAACCCATACAACCATCAGTAATTTTCAGTCTTCAGTTAGTTTTAATAAAATAAAGAATTTTTATTCAAGTGTTATGTTACTACAATATTTGTATGATTAGTGATGCTTTTTATTACTATTTCTAAATGGTAAATAAAAAAATGGTAAACTCATGAGGGAATCTGATTCTAATGACAAAGGAATGGCTGTCTTCCTTTGTCATTAGAAACAGATTCCCTCATGAGTTCACACATAGTCGCCCAACATATTCTCATTCCAAACACCTTGATACCGCCGTTCCAAAGCTTTTCAAACTGCTTGATACCGTCGTTCCAAAGCTTTTAATTGTTGGTGAAATCTCTCCGTGTTCATCACGTCCCCTAGGTTTGCCGAAAAAAAGTCTAAGTGGGAGTGCAGGAAATGGATTTTTAGTGACATGTTGGCTCCAATTTTTTCATAATTCTCAATTTGGTCTTGAACGATATTAACGTAATTATCACGCTTTCTGTTACCAAGAAAATTGGTTGTAACCAGTCGAAATGAGTTCCTGGCTGCTTTTTCATTCGTAGATAAAATATTTTCAAATCCATCATATTTTAGTAGTTTTTGAATTTGGGGGCAATCAAATACGATTTCTTTTACTTTTGCCAGCGACAGATGTGGAGAAACCGTTTTTACCTTAAACGACGCCGAATTAATGCGTCTATCTAAAACCAAAAATTCATCCCAAGAAATATTTTGTTTTCGACTTTTCCTAAATTTTTAAAGTCAAAATACTGAAAAAATTATTAAATTTGAATTTGAAAGCTTTATATCTTCCAGACGTTAAGCTGCAGCTACAAAGTTTCTGGGTCGGATTTATTTGCATTTGTCAGCTTTTCAGAACTGCACAGTTCTATGTAACCAGATATAAAATTCTTAAGTTATGTGAAAAATTGAAGCACTACCCCTGAAAAAAAACATGAAAAAAATACCAAACTTCAAAAATTCTTTAACAAAAAACTAAACCATAAAAAAAAACAATACTTTAAAAAATTTTAAATCCCAAAATCTATCAGAAAAAGTCATTTTGGTCCACAACGGTAAGAAAAAGTTCAATTTTTTCGAGTAGTGTTATCTATTGTGAAATTAACAATTAAAAAAATTAAATGCAGTTTATTTTAGGAAGATATCTCAATTCGTTCAGAAATAATTTAATAAGCATGCTGAAATGGCCGAAGGACGCACTGTGGGACGTAGGAAAGTGGCTTTAGGGTTACCCAAAAACAATATTCCGATGTGAGGATTATTTCGATCTGTGTAATTTTTTGATACGCTTCGATTGTTAAGTTTCAATGATTATTTGTTGAAAATGAGTTTGAAAAATGTTTTTGACTGTGAACAATTGTTTCATTGAAGTAAATATTCTAAAAATACAAACTTACTGCAAAGGGATTTTATCCAGGAAACTGTTCCAAAATCAATTAAAAATATGAAGATAAAAATTAAAATTTGTTTTAAAACCTCAACTCCTCAACAATTGAAAAAAAAAAATTCAAGTTTTGTGAATAACAAATTTACGGATAGGACAAACTTAAGTCTTGCTCAGGACATTCAAGGAGGCTTTCAAATTCAAGGATAATTCAACATAGACATGTTATGTTATTTCCTAGATGATTTATGTATTAGTTTTAATAAATATTTCGAAGATTTTTTAGATTTTAATTTCAACGCAAGTTTATAAAACACGATTTTTTAAGACAAGCAACAATTTATATTTCATGTCATAGTTTTCTTTATAAAAAATAGGTTAATATGAGCAAATTATCTCTATAATTTAAATTTTTATTTATTTTGAATATTAGGAAAACTTCAAATATATAAAAAAAAATATATATGAAAAATTCTTACAGCTTTCCAATTATATGATTCAATTATAATCGTTCCCCGTCTAAGATTAAAGACAACACAAGGGAACAAAATTGATTGAAGTTTTTTAATAATTTTAGGTCGTTGATTTAAAATCTGAGCTCCATTTTTTTCCTTCAGAATACATCAGATTTAAAATCAGTGACCCCAAATTAATCAAAAATTCTAACAAAGTTCTAGGAAACATGGCTGAGTAGTGATTGTTATTCTTGTACTGTCAAAGTAAAGGGCATGAAAAAAACAAACCGATCGAAATGGATTTATATTAACGTTTTGTCTATTACCCGACCATTCTTGTACTCTAGTGATGATTCAGAACATACATTATAATATTAATACCAATTTTTTTTATGCAGCAGTTGCAATGAAATAAATTTTATCTTATTCGAAATATGTTTAACTAAATATTTTAAGACCAAAACTGGCCTTTTTTTCAAACACACTTAAGCACATTTAAAAGCAATGCAGGCACGGCTTAAAGACAGTATTGGATATTTTTCTAAACTGAATACGGTAAACCGTTTTTGAGTTATTCCAGTATATGTACATAAAGTGCCTTAATTTTATAGGCTGTTTACATTGGGGCTGCGTCATGCTGCTTTGCGTCTTGCCGGAGACGCAGTTTTTTTTACATAGGTTAAGCATAGGGCCCTAGTGGTGGCAAAAAGTTGCGTCAGTTTCTGATTCATGTGCGTCTATTCGATATATTCGATTGCTTTTGCTCATTTTTGGGATTTTTTGCCTATCAGCGCAACTATCACCACTAATAACAACAAAAAATTGTAGATCAAAAATAAAATTTTGGCGCTAAAAATGTATGATTGTGCAAAAAGGTGAAAATATACATAAAGTCATTAAATATAATACTTGAAACTGATTGTATTATTATCATATGAAATTTTTCTGACCCCCTGATGCCATTAAGACACTGCTGGAGACGAACTTCGGTGGTTTTCATAATTTGAAGAAGAACTCCCACAAACTCTACAATGAAATGTCTGAAAATAATATTTAAATATGAGAATCAATTCTTTTCGTCCATTTTCCTGACGTCTTGCTTAATTCTGTTGATTTTCAAAAATTTGTGTATCTTTCCTTGTCATCAAACACCCAAATCCAAATTCAAGACGCACGTCTTCCAATGTAAACGCCTTTTCTGCTTCATTGCGTCTATGCCGATATCGATAGCAGACGCGCCCAGTGTAAAAAGGCTATTAGCCATAACGGTATATCGCGAAAACTCGACCTGATAGGAAAAAACCAAGTACAGATTTGGATTCACCGTCCCCTAATACCGTAAAAAACAACATTCAGTTCTTAATCAACAAAAACCTTGTTCCCTTGTGTAATAAATGTCTGCTAGTTATTATTTCATTAAAAAAACTAAGAGTAAAATCGAAGATACAATTTTTTACCGTTTTGCATTTCCACAACTTTTTTAATATTTGTAAGATACTTATTACAGGCTGTGATATGCATCAGCATCAGATCTAAAATTACAAGACATTTGTAATTTTTGCTGGGACTCAATCAGAACCGGGACTCGCCGGCTGAAATCAAGAATAGTTTTTGCCAAAAAAATCACAACACTTGTTGGAGTTTTGTCTGTAATGTATGTTTTATTGTGTTCTTATGTTGGCGACCATATTGGTGGAATCTCTGTACCTATCGACTGGCTATACTGATCGACTGACTGTATTGATCGACTGACCTCGTCTCCATGCAGGGCAGTGCCTTTTATGGATCATCAATGTCTTAAACGATGTCTTATTCCTAATGGGAATAGTGAAAGGGGGGATTATATAAATATGGTTCGATTATGACCTGCGCGTGCCGACTGGTTGATTCGTAACAGAGGGTTACCTAATCATCGGCCCTCCAGTCAGTGTCCAATATCCTCTGGAAGGGGAGTTTTTCCCGCGTCTGAATGACAAGCATTTTTTAGATTGTCTGTGAATGGAAATCTTCAATTGTTTATATTGTAAATTGATCAAATATACATACATATAATAAATAAAGAAACATGCGAATTTCTTAAGAAATATGAAACAGTGAAGCGTAATATATTTATTAGCATAACTGACCCGTTGCCCACTGCTAATTTTATTCTTATTAAAGAATATGTCTCATATTTATATATTTCAACTATTTTGTGATTGGCGAGTGCTATCTTAAGAAATTCATTGCAAAGTACAAGTATTTGGCACTAGACGGATTCTTTTGGCGTCCAGAGAAGACCATTCTGTGGATATGTAAAAAAAATTACAATTTTCTCATTTATCCGGATCATCTTACTAAGACTTTTAATGGCGACCATTTTTGAATTTCTAACTGTGAAATTTATCTACGCTCGCTGATATAATTGATAATAATTGGAGCGGCAGTATCTTCATTAATTTCAAACATTTTATTTAATTTAAAATTAATTTGAGTTTACAGCTACGAAAAAAATTGAATTGTTAGAAAAAAAACGAGCTGGTTTTGTACGCCGACAGCGAATGGCAATTCTGCCAAAAATTTTACAAAAAGTTTTGTAGAGTAGAAAAAAAGGGATAAAAACATATACAATTTTTAATTATGCTGATTCATTAAATTTCAAAGACGCTCTCTATGAGTGAAATGGGTTTAACCAAATCTCTAGTCCTATTACTAGAGTTTTTAAACCAACCGAGACAGCCTTCTGTGGCATCTAGAATTTCAACTCAGTTGGAATTCGGTTGTTTTGGAAATTAGTATCCCCCCCCGATAGTGTCGGATTACTCGACTAGCAATATTTATGTATACTGCATACAAAAGTTAATTGGACTTAACCTTTCGAATCGTATTGTATGGGAGAATCTAGCTCTTAATAGGGATTAAAAAATGTCAGCATATTAACAAATTTAATTTCATTTCCAAATAAAACGCAACCCCCATTTGCAGGCACCTCAGACCAAAATAGGATCAGCACATTAACCATGGTCATCATTTTAACAGTTATCGTCAAGTGTGTCTTCATTAGTTTTGCAACACTGGCCGTTTGCTACAGGTAGAGTACCAGCAAGTCAAACACACACACAAATTTGTACAACTATACACAAAGGAACATTACATATGGACCATACAATAAAATCATGGTCAAGGCAAGAGCGCGCCTCTTGTACATACATTTGACAAATTTACGTACTTAATTTAATTTTTAAATACTTTATTTCATCCGTGTACGTCTACAAAAAGGTTACTCTGGTTTCTTTTTCTTTCATTGTCCCTTTGTCTTTATCGCTGTGTAAAATATTTGTTGTGCTTACATCATTACCTTAAAAAACTACTTATGTGTATGTACATGCCCTAAATCATTGTATTATAAAAGTATTTATGTGTATTTATGTACATGCCTTGTATCATATTGTCGTAATCACAAGCAACTAAAGTTTATGTGATTTTTTTTATTAGTTACGTTTTTCGTTTCTTTAATTTCGATCAGGTAATACATATCAATGTACAAATGCATGAACTTTAAGCATATGCAGACAAAGAAAGAAAAATTTGAAATATGGATATCGATTAATATACATTAGTCCATAGAGACGTCTTTCGTAAGATTCTATGAATAATATGGAATCTGTTCAATAATTGTTTGGGTTATCTTGATAAAATGCATTCGAGTTATGGCCTAATATATAGCCTATCTAGGCACGAAACGAGCAGAGTCCAAACTTTAAAAATGTTTTTCCAGTGAAAAACGACACAGTCACCTTTGAATGCATGAATACCAACTTGGCTCATGTTGCGTTCATGTTTCTAAGATAAAACATACATTCTTATAGACCTGAAATAATGTACCTCTGTCCCCGTTTTCTAATCAAATATCTGTTCTCATTGTGGCTATTTATAATAAATCCACCACCCGATAAATATACAGATATGATATTTCGATTTCTTTCCCTTCCCCCCTCGATTCCAGTTGGATGGCATTGGAAGCCGACGAGTGTGTGTCAATGTTTTTCACTGTCCTGCGATAAAACCTGGCTTTCCAACGGTACGGTTCTCTTGCTGATAGTTTTTAATAGTTCATGCAGCTCCTCCGCACTCCGGATAGTAAAATGCCATGCAAAATAAAAGGAACCACTTTTAATTGCAAACAGTTTTGTGAACGGGCAGATATTTGTATGTATAAGAAAATCTTGACAAATTTTTTTTTTTTCCCAAGTAACCAAACCGACTTTTTCTGATATATTTGGGGCTATACATTTTTTTTAAGAATTAAGGGTTTTTTTATACTTCTGAACTTTTTATAAAGAATTTTTAAAGACTGGTATTTTTTAAGCTTTTTTCAGAGGTAGCGCTTCTTTTTTTCACATAACTTAAGTATATTACATCTGGTTGTAATGAACCTTGCCCTTCTGAAAAGCTTATAAAATTATAATTTTTTTGCGATATTTTTGTCAAAATTTTGACTTTAAAAACTGAGACAAATTGGTTGACCAACCGTCCGAAAATCATTTAACCATTTGCCAATGTTTTGGGCCCATTCTTAATTTTTACTGATTTTTTCTGAAGCTAATATATATATAAAACAAAAGGTTGGATTTCACAAGAATTTCACAGCCTTTCACAGGATTTTTGTTTTGTGGTGATAGAATGGATATACCTGAAGATATAGCGAATCAATGTTGAAATTTTTTAACATTTCTACAGTTTCTACAACTTTGGCCTTTAAAAAAAATGTTCGTAGTGTATGGTTTTATTTTCAGACATGAAATTTTTGGCGACATCTATTCGTAACAAAATAAGCTACTAATAAATACAATTTTTCGATAAATGCCAACAGTACGATTTTTAATAGTAAATGTACACCATGTATATATCACAAAGCAATGCTTGTTTGTAATTTCAATTTTGCTGCATGTAAAATTAAAAAATTTCAAAACAAGCCTTGCTTGGTAGCAGGCTGTAAAATTTTGTATTGTTGGTAAACCAATTTTAGCTCAGCCGTTTCTGCAAAAATGATAATAAACAAGACTTTTAACTACGCCTAATTAATGCACCTATTTACAAAAAATATAATAACACAGGATATCATTTTTTTTTCGACTTTTACTGAGTTTTTAAAGTCAAAATTTTAGCAAAAATACCGCACAAAAATCATCATTTTCGCATTTGAAAGAACTAACTTCGTGTGCCTTCGTATGCTGTATGCATACAAGAGAGCGGCTGGCTCTAGATCGCTCTCTCTCTCTAAAAAATTTCAAGAGAGCCTGGAGCCAGCTCTAGAGCCAGCATTCAAAAATTCGTGTGCAAAAATTTCGTATGGCGTTAAGTATACTTATACTTATATTGTCTTTGGTGCAACGCAGAGAAGGAAACGTTTCCGACCCCATAAAGTATATATATACTTGATCAGCATCAATAGCCGAGTCGATATAGCCATGTCCGTCTGTCCGTGCGTCCGTCTTGACGAGCGCCTAGATCTCAGAGGCTAGGGAAACCAAATTTGGTTTCCAGACTCGTGATATCACACTGCTAAAAGTGTATTTCAAAATTTCCCCCGCCCCCTTCCTTCCCTTAGTTTTTAGTTGCTTCCCCCGCCTCTACCAGCCAGATACACGCTACTCATTCTCTTTCTCGCTCGCACACTCTGCCTCGTTCAGTGCGCGAGCAACCCCTAGCGGAGGAGATGTAGAATCTAAATGGTACATGTATAATCTACATGTTAGATATACAATATACATAGTATATATAGATAACAGATGTAGCAAAAAAATGTAAAATGTAAAAGTTTTTTTTAATTCTAAAATTCTAAAAAATCAAAAAAATAAAAATGTATATACTGACTGAGTGAGGGTATAAGTAGAGTCGCGTCCCCAGAAGCCCCAGACCTTTAATTTAAAAAGCTAGTATTTTTTAAGCTTTTTTTAGAGGAATCTAATTTATTTTTCACATAACAAAAGTATCTTACATTTGAACTTAACAATGATCTTTGCCATTTCACATTCTTTTGCTACATCTGTTATCTACATCTACAATGTCGATTACACATCTAAAATGTAGATTATACAAACACACTCTAGGTTCTACATCTTCTCCGCAAAAGGTCGCGCACAGGGCAGAGCGAGAAAGAGAATGAGTAGCGTCAGCTGGCGCTGGAGGAGGTGGGGGATGCAGCTGAAAATCAATTTCTTTATTCTGGCTATAATACTGAACCGATCTGATTCAGATTTTGCCATCTGGTAGATATGGTCATTCTCTACTCTATACAGCGTTTTTAGTTTTATCGGATCTTCAAACTTGTGGCTGCCACAGATTTTCGTCCTTTGTTGTGACGGAAGGGGGCGGGCAAAATTTTGAAATACACTTGTAGCAGTGTGATATCACATGAGTATAGAAACAAAATTTGGTTGCTTTAGCTCTTATAGTCTCTGAGAACTAGACGCTCATCAGGACGGACAGACAAACAGAGACTGCGTACCCCTTAACTCTTTTTGAGTACGGGTATAAAAAAAAGTTCTGCCATAGAAAAAAAACTCTAATAAAACAACATTAAAGCTGCAAATCTGTCAGAAAAAGTGGTTTTGGTTCCTTGAGGAAAATCGTGTCGGGTAGTGTTATCTACAGAAAATTTATACAACCAAACTGAATTATGGAATTAAAGTGATTGATATAATAAATGTTGCTAATCAATTTTTTCGGAATTTGTACTAGTGTAGGTGGTTTGTTGATTAACCAACACGCATAACTTACTTATATACGGCAAAACATTTTTATTTCAGAGTATGAACCATCCACCAAAGATATTCAGCTCTTGCTTTCGACCACATTCGACCCATTCCCTACGAAAAATATTTGTTTAATGGCCGTAAGGTGAAGTTTAGTGGAATGCGGCATTAGCACTAGCTATGACATCAGACTTTGCTAATTGACTTTTTGACTATCAAAAATAGAGATAGCCTTATGGGAAATTCCTGCAGTCAGAGCGAGAGAAATATATGCGTCCAGTTGGCTTTCCAGTTGAGAGTAGCGGGGAGGGTGTAGCGCTGTGGTGAAATTATCGATTTTTGTAATTTTTAGAAACAATTTTGATGGCTTGTCAGCCAGCTAGTGCTGGAAAACATAATTTTCTCTCAAGTAATGCCTCAGTTGTTCGACTGAAAGTCAGTAGACGTGTCTAGAGACGGCTACGAACACTAATTTTGTATTTTGTCTCTCAAACTTTCTCTCTCTTCGCAGTATATTTAGCAAAGTCTAATTTCATAGCACCATAAAGCATCGATATTATTGATAGTACCCTCGATGGTATGATACCACTTCAAATCATATTCGAATTTTATAATTTTCAAAGCTTTAATTTTATCTTTCAGACAAGTGAATAATTAAATTTAAGGCACAGTCTTTTAAAACTTAAAAATTTTTGTCTTTATGAAAAAAAAAGCAAAGCCGACTTCGTTTGTTAATCTTGTGTCGGATGATCTGATATAAAAACAGACTTAGTACTAAAGGCCTGTCTCCAGCACAGCGGAAAATTCCAGCCAGGAAGTTGCAAGTTGTTCACTTGCTAAAACATGGTAACTCTGATGAATCAGCTGTATTTTGTGAACAGACCAAATTGTGAAAGTTAAATTAAAATAAAAAAAGGAAAAAAAATGAAATGTGCCGATGAGAGATTGTGTTGGTGGCGGCACATATTGTTCCAAAAAAACAAAGGAGATATTTTCATCCCTTTTTTTAGTTTTGCGCACAGTTTTTTACTCCATTTTGCATTCACGTAAAGCCTAGTACTCAGATCGAAAAACTGTTTGCTAGTAAACAGATGTCATAGAGGTGTGCACTGCATTCCGAACAATTACACTGCTCAGACCGCTGCTTGGTTTTGTTTAAAGTTAACAAAATGCACTTCTTCGGCTGGGGCCGCTCTTCCCCAGGCATATCCTGGGCTCCCCAATATTTTATTGGCAATGTAATGTGTCTGACTATCAGCAGATGGCGACGCCACCCGTGCCGACCACCGTGAAGACAAACTGTTTTGAAAGCAATATTTGTTTTAAATTTATGAAAATTAATAAAAATATTATAATATAATATCCATATAATGGTCATTTATATAATGCTGCATTAATTCGATTCTATTTGTCTTCATTATTAAAATATTTCATTTGGATTTTTGTTCTCTTATTGCAATGTTTGCTTCGTGTTTGCTGGCAAAAGATATCAAATTGATATCTTTTTCGAGGTGGGTCGAAACATACCAAAAAAACAAGCAAATACTTCTGATACTTCTCCAGTATACACCGACCTTTTTGTTTTTTGTTTTTTACATACATACATATACTTATATAGTAAATACATATGTACATATTATTGACCGTTAATTAAGTTTTGGCAGAATATTAAATGGTCTCGACGAAAAAAAAAAGAATGAATGCTTAGGAGGAAACATTGTTTATATGTGTGTCAATATATACATCTGTATGTACATTTGTTGGCATATCTGTGAAAGAGGCGGTTGGTGTACTTCTTTGCTACGATCACTTTTATATTCCTCAGAAGATGTGCTTTTAGTCAACGTATTACACAGGTCGCGACACGGATTTTGCTGCAGGCCTACACTAAATTTTTTACATGAATATAGGCCTTTGTAAGCTATACAGTAGCATACTGCGAATTTAAAGATTGAAAGTATTCCATTTTTAGAAAAATCACTACGCTTCTATCCTTTTTAATTTAGAATTTCTTTAAAGATAGATATTTTTTAATTTTCTTAACATGTTTTTCATGTTTTACATGTATCCGGTACTAAAAGAGTTTGGGGATGTACATATTAGATTTGTGGTGAAAGTGGATGGGTGTACCACCCAGAAAGAAAGTTTGCCGACCTATAAAGTATGTATGTACATATATTCTTGATCAGCATCAATAGCCGAGTCGATATAGCTATGTTCTCTGTTCGTCCGCCCGTCCGTCTGGATGAGCGCCTAGATTTTAGAGACAATAATGGCTAGAGCAAAATTTTGTATACAGACTTTGGTGGTATCACACTTTCTCTCTCTGTCGCCCTCCCTTCCAAAATCATAGTTTCTCTCTAAACAAGGAAATGCGTAATGCACTGTCTTTCTGTTTTGTCTACGTCCTTGCACAGCTACCACGTCCAGCTGGATTTTCAAAAAAATCAATCTGTCTCTTTTGCGAATAGCGATACCAAAGACAAAGAGATTCCGTAAACGTATAGAAAGTCATTATAGTGCATATAATAACATAAATAACAAACTGAAATAAAAATGTAAACTTATACCAAATGAGAGCCATTTATTAGTACTACTAATTTAATAGTTTCGGGGTAGTACCAAAGCCAAACTAAAAAAGGCAGTATTCTTAACGTTTACATTAAAATAGTAAAAAATTTAGTGTGTGAGTATGCCGAAAACAGAAAGTTTTATTTTTTCCCATTTAACGAATGAACGAATTCCATTTTATTTTCCGTATAATGAAGATCTAAAACTAATGAAACAAGAAGTCATAGAAATTGAATCATTTAATCAATCTTATGTTTGTTGCATCTAAAATGAGTCTTCAGCAAATAATTCGATTGAGAGGATCACTGTGAAGACTGTTTTAAATAGCGAAGCATAAATTGTTTAATAGGCCCATTAGTCTGTATGGGTTAATATTAGTTGTTATCTATTCTATAATTAAAATGTTTTTTAACATTTTAAGGTTTTTTTCAAAAAATTTCTATTCTTTTTCAGCAAAATCCTGGGATGGGATACCAAAAATATTTAAGTCTGCAAACTTTTATACTGAACATTTTATCCATTATATTTAGATTAAAAGAAGAAAAAAGATTACCATTGTCATAGTAAAACAAACGAAAAAAAAAACAGAATACTAAAATCATAATAATAATAAAAAAAAATGTTTACTGCAGTGCAATTGTGAAAATAGTTCTGTTTTGGTTGCACTACGTTAATACGTTAATTTTCAGGCTGAACTTCTTGGCAAAAATAAATGCGCTAGGGTGGAAAGCTTCTACGTGTGCGTGTTTTGGTTCCTAAATATACATATTTATGTTTAAAGTCATACGTACATACATATATAAATCAATTAAGATCCACAAAATTTGTGTGTACATTATGGCCCACTTAGCTATGATAGTTTATATAGATTTTGTAATTCTGTTTTCTCACAATGCGTACAAAATTTGTTTGTTTGCTTGTTTTTTTTCGGCCAACCCACAACCCAACTGTAATAATAAAAACGACGAATTCTCTGCAACGGCAAATTCAATAAATCACCTGGCGTGTCACAACGTAAATCAAAACAATAATAAATTAAATCTGTATGCCACATTATGTGTGTGGGAAAACACGGCTGGTCAATTAAACGAAATCCGCAACTTTCGTATTCTAACACACAAATCACACACAAATTTTAAATCATATGCGCACATATCGAAACAAACGGCTAAATATGTCTCGTATAGAGAACTACCACGGCTCAAATACAGTGTTCCTAGTCGGTGTTCTAATGTCAGTTGTAGGGTTCGTTTTTATAACATTCACCTTAATGGCATTGTGCTACAGGTCAGTTGTAGTACATAGAAACTTCTCCCTGTGTCTGAGGTTAGTTGAAAAGAAGTAATGAAAAAGCCAGCTCTTAATAAAAATACAAATTAAAACCACAAAAAACAACAAAAATTAACTTGAAAATAATTTTCAAAAGTACAAAACAATACTTGTTAAAATATGGAAAGAAAAACAGTCCATTTTTTTTTTATTTTTTTTGCATTTTGATATATATTTTCTGTGTTGTAATGTTAAGTACATGAGCGTTATTATCATTTTTATTTTCATTTAAGCTTCATTAAAGCACTTCTGACTGCCCAAGCCTTCACAATATATAATTTCTAACACAATTACCTCATCAGTCCACAACGTACTATAGTATGTACTTACATATCTTATTATATTATATGATCTGATCTTATAAAAATCATCAGCTACGCAGTGTGAGTTCATTGTTGGCTGAGTTGAACTGATAGATATATTTTTAAAACCGTACTCGAACCGTACATTACACACATATGTGGTAAAAGTGGATGTGTGTAACGCAGAGAAGGAAACGTTTCCGACCCCATAAAGTATATATATTCTTGATCAGCTTCAATAGCCGAGTCGATAGAGCAATGTCTGTCCGTCAGTCCGTCCGTCCGTCTTGTTTGTCGCCTGGATCTCAGAGACTATAAGAGCTAGGACAACCAAGTTTGCTTTCCAGACTCATGTGATATCACACTGAATCAAGTTTGTTTCAAACTTTTGCCACGCCATTCACAATTTTAAAGATACGAAAAAAAAAATCGCAGTAGCGTAGAGAATGACCATATCTACCAGATTGACGAATCGGGATAAGATCTTGTCATTATTATAGCCAGAATGAAGAAATTCATTTTCAGGAGCTAAACCCTCGCTCTTACATTGTAGATGTAGAATAAACATTGTGGATGTAGATGACAGATGTAGCAAATAAAATTAAAATGTATTAAAATTCCCCATATCATAAGCTCATATATTTATAAACTGACTGAGTACGGGTATAAAAGTAGAGTCGCGCCACAACAGCGACTCACAACGTTCCTTCTCGTTTTTTCTATGAATTGGCTAATTACACTACCTGACAAAATTTGTCCTCTTCCAACTTAACCAACTTTTTTTCACAGATTTGGGGCTTAAACAAGCTTAATGAAATTTTTTTTCTATCAAAAATGGTTTTTCAAGGATAAATGGTTTTTATTAATGTTTTTTTTCAGAGGTAGCGCTTTTTTTCACATAACTTAAGTATCTTATATATGGTTGTAATCATTTTTGCCATTCTGATCATTCGATAAATGCAGCTATGAAGTGGACCTGAACATTGTGTAGCTCTAGCTTACAGTCTGGGAAATATTAAGTTTTTCAATGCAAAATTTATGGTTTTTCTTCGGGTCCACTTCATAGCTGCATCTGATCAGAATGGAAATATTTATTAAAACCAGATGTAAGATAGTCAAGTTATGTGTGAAAGAAGGCGCTATCATTGAGAAAGCACGTTCGTTTTTCGGGTGTTTTGGGTGTCCGTTACTTCGGCTCAGCAATGATCGTAATGATTATGAGCAAAAACGCAAATGAGTAACCTCCGCTCGTTGATTTTATTCAAGTCAAGAAGCGGTCGGCACACAGCCATGCACATGTGTACGAAGACCTCTTCGGCTGGAAATTTTGCACCGTTCGGCTCTTTGGGTCGAATCTGTTGGCATCGACTTTGCATGTATGCGTGTAAACCCTTTCACATACATGTTGGATATGATTGTATTGTATACGAAACTGCGATTTGTGAGCTGAGTTTATTCAACGCTGAGTATTTTTAGTGATTATATATGAGTAAAGCAAGAAAGTGATTCGGAAGAAGCGTCTGACAGCGCAAGTTGAGTTTAATCAACGCTGAGTATTTTTGACCGATTCCATGTGAGTAAAAACTTTAGCTCATGAGTAAATCAAGAAAAATGTGATTTTTGCAGTTCTCTGGTGTCGACTGCGCAGCCCAAGATATTTTCCTATGCACATTGCATACGACGTTGCCGGCCCCCGATATATGGTGATCTTTTAAAGTTCTCGCATAGTTAAGCCAGAGGCATGCGCACTTTCACCGCTACAGTGGGTTTGTTTTTTTCAGAGCTTCTAGTAATGTTTTCGGCTAGTGTGATCACGCTCTGAGTAAATACGATGAGTTGTAAAACATTTTTCAAACGGAAACTAATCCGAGCTTTTCTGACAGACTCAACAATTCATAATGAAAATATGTTTTATTTGTTTGAGACTTAAAAATTAATTTCTACCTATTTATTTTTATAAACTGAGAAAAATGTTCAATAAATTTGTAAGCCCGGTACTTAAAGAGAAAAGGCATACATATACTATAAGGATACAGATATATAATAGTTTTTTTTTTACATGTGTATGTAACTTCCAGAAGAAAGCGTTTCCGTCCCTCCTTCTGTGCTCCCGTCTTCCACCTGTGGGAGTCTAGACTCTAAACTGTAGACTCTACATTAACCAAACTGTGTGTGCAAATTTATTTAACTGACTGACAGACTGCTGCAAACATATTTAAAGATTCTGCCAAGCTCCACAACACTACAAAAATTGGCGAAATTTTACGCATCTACAATTTTGAAGACACGAGAAAAAAAGCGAGCAACCAGAATTATTAAAAATATATTTATTGTCTAGATTATTTCAGAATTTGGATCTGATCGGGTCATTATTATAGCCAAAATAAAAAAAAAATAATTTCCCATAACTGACTCCCCAACCTCGGACTCGCTCTCTCTGTCTGTCTCTACCTATCTACGCATCGCATCGCATACACACAAAGTTGTTTGCAAGTGTTGGGCTTTCGGTATGCTGGTACGCAGCACAAGCTGTGTATGGATACAAGAATTGGTTTTCACCGCTGGGAGCAATTACAAAAACAAAAGAGCTCACGGAGCAATGGGCCTCGGTACCCCTGCCATTAAGTATATATGTATATTCTTGATCAGCATCAATAGCCGAGTAGATATAGCCATGTCTGTCTGTCCCTCCGTCTGTCCGTCTTGTTTGTCGTCTACCAAATTTTGTTTCCAGACTTATGTGATATCACGCTGCTACAACTGTATTTCAAAATTTCGTATATGTATCTATAATATACATTGTAGATGTAGACAGCAGATGTAGCAAAAAAATTTAAAATGTAAATATTTTTTTTTTAATTCTAAAATTTTACAAAATCATAAGCTCAAAAATGTATATACTGACTGAGTACGGGTATTAGTAGAGTCGCGTCCCCAGAAGCGACTCACACATTCCTTTTTTTTTTTTTTTCTACGGCAGACCTTTTTTTTAAGAATAAAAATAAATGGATTTTTTTAAAGCTTTTTCCGGAGGTAGCGAGTACGGGTATTAAAGTAGAGTTGCGTCTACAGAAGCGACTCACAACGTTCCTTCTCGTTTTTTTTTCTACAGCAGACCTTTTTTTAAAGAATTAAAAATAATGGGATTTTTGTAAAGCTTTTTTTTGCACATAACATAAGTATCTTGCATTTGGTTGTAATAAAGTTTGCCATTCTTAAAAGCTAATAAGCGCAGCTATAAAGTGGACCTGTAAATTTTTTAGGTTCAGCTTGTCTTCTGGGAAATATACAGCTTTCAAGTTCAAAATTAATGATTTTGGGTTATTTTTTTTATCAGAAACGATAGGGAAAGCAGCGACTCACAGCTGCAGAAACAAATTTGAGATCTAGGCGCTTACGAGATGGACGGACGGACTGACAGACATGGATATATCCACTGAGCTACTGATGCTGATCAAGAATATATATTTTTTATCGGCTCGGAAACGTTTTCTTCAGTGCTTTACGCTCATCCACTTCGACCAAAAGTCTTATATACCCTTTAACTCTTCGAGTACCGGGTATACAAATTGGTTTGGTTCTACGAGTATAAATGGTGTTGAATAGTGTTATTATTGTGTTCTTTTACACGATTTTAAATATTAACTAAATTATATGAATGATAAATCGCGGCTGAGCCCTGACAAGTAATTTTATATGTATAAAATACCGTTCAATATGCCGCCGAACACATATGTATATACAAAAAAAAACATATTTTTATCATATATTTATACCCGTACTCAAAAAAGAGTTAAGGGGTATATTAGATTTGTGGTAAAAGTGGATGTGTGTAACGCAGAGAAGGAAAATTTTCCGACCCCATAAAGTATATATATTCTTGATCAGCATCAATAGCCGAGTCTGTCCGTCCGTCCGTCCGTCCGTCCGTCTTGCTGAGCGCCTGGATCTCAGAGACTATAAGAGTTAGGGTAACCAAATTTGGTTTCCAGACTCATGTGATATCACACTGCTACAAGTGTATTTCATAATTTCGCCCCGCCCCCTTCCGCCACCACAAAGAACGAAAATCTGTGGCAGGCACAATTTTAAAGACACGATAAAACTAAACGCAGTATCGTAGAGAATGCCCATATTTAACAGATTGCCAAATCCGAACTAGATCGGATCATAATTATAGCCAGAATGAAGAAATTAATTTTCTGTTGCTTCCCCTGCCCCCTCCTGACCCCAACAACGCAACTCATTTTCCTTCTCGCTCGCACATTCTGCCGCGTTCAGTGCACGAGCAACCCCTAGCGGAGGAGATGTAGAATCTAAATGGTACATGTAGAATATACATGTTAGATGTAGAATATACATTGAATATGTAGATGTAGATAACAGATGTAGCAAACAAATTTAAAATGTAAAATTTTTTTTTTTTTTAATTCTAAATAATTATATGCTCAAAAATGTATATGCTGACTGAGTACGGGTATATGTAGAGTCGCGTCCCCAGAAGCGACTCACACGTTCCTTCTCGTTTTTTATTCATTTTATGTGGTTATTTAAATAATTTCTTAAGCATTGATCAATTCCAACGTAATAAGGGCTTTCCACGACCTTAGGTTATGTTAGGTAAAGGCAGTATCTTGTGAAGTAAGGTCAGTCCCATCCGGTGGCTTGGATATATTTGGACCAGATCCCTGGCTG